TAACACTATGCGGGCCACTCGACTGCGTCGGCCGCGCGCATGTCGAACTCCGTCCAAAACCTTTATCGCCGCCGCGTGGACACCATCAACGTCATCGGCGTGACCAGCATCGGCGCCGTGATTGGCCTTGCCGTTTTCATCAACATCATTGTCACCATCATCGATACTATCATCACCGTATCTGCCAATTCTGACGTCGCCATCGTACCGCGCCCGCCCGAGCCACCGACTCGCACTGAAGTGCCCGAGTGTCAGCGCTGCCTGCGAGACGCGCTGGGAAGTCCCCAATGGTCAGCGCCACTGCGGTCGCGTCGGTCGCGCCAAACTCGCTGGCCACTCTGAGCGTGAGCCTGCGCGCGCTAGCGCGGCCACAACAATGCGCCAGCCAGCTCCAAGCAGCCATCGCAATCGCCGCCGCTTTGTACTTGCACACTAAGTTGAGCGTGGGTGGGTTGGATGACTGCACTAGCAATGGAGGAGCAGTCAACTCCAAGTTATTCAACATGAGTTTCACCACATAGACTGCACAGCATTTATTGCACAACGTAGTCATATTGCACCAGCTTTTTTGCACAATGTGACTTGCACCACTACATTGTACCACGTAAAGTGCAAAGCGTACGTTGCAGTCTAGTTTGCACCACATCGATCGCACACCAAAACATGCACCACATAGTTTGCTCCACATAGACTGCACACCATACGCTGCACCACATATATTGTATAGCATCGGTCGCACACTATAGGTTGCACAACGCACATTGCACAACAGATAGTGCACACTATAAACCGAATCACATAGATTGCGCCACACATATTTCTCCACATTCATTGCCCAACATCTATTGCGATATGTTGCGCCACATATTTTGCACACCATCGATTGCACAACACATACTGCATACCACAGGTGGTTCCACGTATATCGTCCCCATAGGTTGCACCACATGTATTGCACAACATAGGCTGCGCCACATAGGTTTCATCACATTGATTGTGCAACATATATTGCGCAGCATGTGTTGAACCACATCTACGTTACATCACATCGATACTTCACAACACGTATTGCACCACATAGGTTGCACAACATACATTGCACCACGCAGATTTCTAGAAGCACACTGTTTGGTGTCCACGCTGGCTAGCATGTTTCTGTGTCGTCTTCGAGGTGGCGCGCCCATTCTGCGACACCGCGCGCACGAGGTGCCGAACGTTCGGCATGCAAGTACGGGGAAATGCCCCGCAGAAAGTGGGCGCAGCAGGCCGGAAGGGGACCGCCCGCACCGCGCTTGCCGGGGCCCGCGCGCGTGTCAAGCCGCCCGCCTTGTTCCCCCGTGCTTCTTCTGCTTTCTGCTCTGGCTGCCTGCTTTCCTGCCCCACCGCTCCTCGCGGGCTGTACCCAGACATCTCGCGTGATAGAAGGCAAGGGCGGCTGGTTCTTGGCTCCCTTTCGGCCCACCATTGCCCTCACCAGTCGCGTGTTGCTAGAAGTTCCCCTGGCCCAAGGTCCCAAGGTGCCTCTAAGATATTCCAGGAGGCCCCCTCACGGCCTCTGGAGCACCCCCCCCACGAGGCCCACTGGGGGCACCTTGGGCCAGGGGCGCTTCCGGCAACCCCCGAGCCGGGCCCGCTGGGGCCGTCGAGCACGGCCCACCGTGAAGAGCCGGTCCCGGAAGCAAGGGCTCCCAACCTTTCGCGCTTCGCGCTGCGCGAAGCGCGAATGACTTCGCGCTCTCGCGCCGCCTCCCAGGGGAGAAGAGGAGGATGAGGAGGAATCGGAGCCGAACCGCAAGGCGCGAATATAACTTCGCGCCCTCGAGGGCGCCCTCGGGAACGAGGCCCCGACCTCCATATGGAGGGGCCCGCTGCAGCAGCAACGCTCACAGCGTCGGACGTCTGGGCGCCTCGGGCCGCTCGCGGGCTCCGTGCCCAGGCGCGGCCCCCGGGCGATCGAGGCTCTGCGCCGTGAAGCCCCCCTCTCCTGGGCCCCCAGTCGGCGGCACGTGAGGTCGGCCCGAGGCAGGAGTGACCTCTGGTGCGCGGCTTTTGGGGGGCGCGGGGGGCGGGGCCAAACTCCAGCGCGCAAGCCGCTGCTGCCGTATCGCTTTTTCGGCGATCTTGGGACCCCACTGTGCCCGCACCAAAGGTCACTCCGGCGAAAGGTCACTCGTACGTACAGCCGACCCAAAGAGTGACGGACTTGAGAAAAAGGGTGGGCTCCCGGCGCCCCTGGCGTGCCAGGAGGTCCGAGGGGCGACTTTCCTGTGGCAAGGTGGTCCAGGATAGCATGCTGGTTGCGCCCCAGAACCATCATCCAGAGCAAGTTTTGGCTCGGCAACTTTGCCCATTGAGGGGCCACCTTGTCGACAATGAGTGCACGCCCTGTTTCACAGAGCTCCTAGCTTCCAGCGGCCATGAGACTAGTAACTATTTGCATGCAACTTTCGTGAATTTGGATAGTCATTGCGACCAATCATCACAAAGTTGAGGGTCGCCCACCACGAAAAGATGGCCCCGAAGAGCCCCAAAAGACCGCCCAGGCGGCACGGCAGAAGGGTACAATAAGGGGCCCCCAGCCGGCAAACGGGAGACCTGCAGAGAGACGCCTCCAGAGGGCGCAGGAAGTGCATGGTGGGAGCTTTGCGTGATTGAGCTGGAGGCTCGAACGATCAGATTCAGGTTCGCCCCTTCACAGGGAGTTTGAGCCGGAATCGCCCTCCACCCACGTACGGTCGAGAATCTTCACTTGGCGTGTCGCGGCGGCGGCCCTGGCGACACACCATGCCCTGCGAGCTGACAGCGTGTCATTCTGCTCCGCAGGGGGATGGGAAGTGTTGGGTAGGGCCAAGGGGTGCTGCAGACACCCAGGAGCGGGCGTCAAGGGGTGCAGCCACTCTGCGCGCTTTCACCGCGCGCCTGAACCGCCCCCCTTGATGCACTCCCCTGACCCCCCTCTTGATGCACCCCCTTGACGCCACCCCCCATTGATGCACGCCCCTGACGTCCCCTTCTTGGTAGTCCTGCAGAGGAGGGCGCTCTCCGACTCCCTCCTCCCTTCTCCCACCTCCCTCATCTCCTTCCTCTCCCTCCTCCCTCCTCCCTCCTCTCAACTCCCTCCTCCTTCCTCCCTCCTCCTTCCTTCGTCCTCCCTCCTCCGTCCTCCCTCCTCTGTCCTCCCTCCTCCCCCTCCTCCTCCCTCCTCCTCCCTCGAGGCAAGGGAAGAGCTCTGGATGTCGACGCTCGGGGGCGGGGACCTGGTCAGCGTGCCGCGCCGAAGCGTGGCGGGCCAGCCCCGGCGGCGCGACACGCCGAGAGACAGCTCCTCATCGTCGTCGTGGTCGTCGTCATCCTTATCAGCATCTCCAGCACCATCATCACGAATACCATCACCATCACCATCATCAGCATCATCATCACAAGCATCACGATCATCATCATCATCATCATCATCATCATCATCATCATCATCACCATCATCATCATCATCATCATCATCATCGTCATCATCATTTTCATCATCAGCAGTCTCATCATCATCACCATCACACCATCACTGTCATACTGGTCAGCATCATGAGCGTCATCCTGCACCAGCAGCAGCACTGCCATCATGACCACCAGCGTCGGCATCGTTACAATAATAACAAACACCGTCACCGCCATCATCATCGATATTTGTCATATCCATGATCACCACCGCGAGCAATAACGCGTCTTGACAAGGAGGAACGGGCAACAACAATAGAGAGGACGGGGATTCGGAAGATGCCGTGATGAGACTGTTGGTGATGATGACGGTATTGTGAAGTAGGTGACGGCAATGCTGATGCTGCTGCTGATGATGACGATGATGATGACGATGATGATAATGATGATGTTGATGCTGATGATGCTGATGATGATGCGGATGATGATGATGATGATGATGATGATGATGATGATGATGATGATGATGCTGATGATGATGATGATGCTGATGATGATGCTGATGATGATGATGATGATGATGATGATGGATGGATACGCTGAGGGTGATAAGGGTGGTCGTGTTGATGGGCGATGGTAATGGCGATTGCGATGAATACAACGACCGTGAGTTGATTACCTCGAGTGCCAACGTGCGTTTCAGCACGAGGAGGCGCCACTCAGCTCATAAAGGGTGATCAGCGCAGGAGACAATAATAAGTAAAGGGCGTGGGGAGGTACAAAAGGGGGGAGCGAGGAAGGGGAGTGAGAAGAGGAGGAGAGAGGAATGAGACGAGGAGGGAGAAGGAAGAGGAAGAGAGGGAAGCGAGGAAGAGGACGGGGACGCGGAGAGGGAGGCAGGCATCGAAATATCTATGCATCGATGCGCAGTTGCCCGCCAAGCCATATCTATGCATCGAGGCTGGCCGTGCGCCTCCGCACCAGGCCAGTGGGGGAGGTTGTCCCGCCCAGGAGGTGGATCAGAAGGGACCGGGAACGCACCCTACGCCAGGCTGGCCCAGCTAGGCTCCATTGTAGAGACGGCGGCAGTGCTCGGGTCGTCCTTTGTTTGCCAAAGGCTCATTCGACGATGCCTGCAGCCCTCAGGAGTGGTCGCTTCCTTGCTGTGGTCGTCCGCGCCCAACAAGCCTCCGACAGAGAACCCGGCTTGGTTCAAGTGCTTCGCGTAGACGTTGAGGTAGCGGATCCCCGCCAACGTACGTCCGTGCGCGACTTTGAGGTCCACCCTCCCAAACTGCACCCACTTGGGATCCTCCGTGACGGCCTCTGATGCGCGGTACCGGAGACCGCCAGCCTGCTTCTCGTCCGCCCACTTTCCCGTCAAGTTCACCTCCTGGAAGTACATGTCCGTGCACAACTCGCCGAGCCTCTGCGCCTCCGCCTCCACGCGCAGTAGGGAGACCTCGGTGCGCGCGCCCCTAGGGATCTGGACCAAGAGGTGCCTGCCGGCCAGCATGAGGTCGAAACGCTCGCCAAAAATATTTTGCAGATGCGGGTCGCCGGTGCCCGCCACGGCGCCCATGCTGGCCCCAATGATGACGGGAACTGGCGTGGGAGCCAAGGTGACGCCCGCAGTCGAACCCGCTGCGCCCACGGAAGGAGCCGTCAGCGTAGGAGCCACAGTGATGACCGGTTCAGTACTCCAGTCAGACGCAGCCATAGCTTCGTTCGTCTCGGCCTCAATGGTGGCAGACATTGCAGCGATCGCGGCGGTGAGGGACGCGGCGCTCTTGCTGCCGACGATCTCCACCGTGAAGCTCGTGGTCACGGTAACGTGCGAGTCCCGCGAGAGCTGGCGGACAGCAGCGGGGAACCGATCGGGATGGGTCGAGATGGCGAAGCCCGTGATCTCAACGTCGGAAACGGGCACATTCAGAGCATTAGCCAGACCAGTCTTCTTCGCGGACACGTAGGTCGTGGAACTCATGAGGTCCTCCGCAGTCACGCCGTCTGGAAGAGATTCCTCCGCGGAGTACTCGCCAGCAATCTTTGCGTGATTGGACAGGTAGCTGCCCGTTGCATTCGAGCACGAGAGACCGAATGCCCGATAGTAAAGCCAAGTCGAGGAATCTGTACTGCAACCACACAGGCCGCCGTGCCAGCAACCATTGCAGCCGTCACACGTAGAATTTGCAAGGTCGAAGTAGCCACAGCCATCGTCGCAGCTGCAGCATCCAGCAGCTTTACGCGCTGCTGTGCAATCCCAACAATTGCAACCACATGGTGGGTTCGAGCAGCCGCAAGTTTTCTGAGTTTCGGATAGCGTCGGGCTTGGCGTGGGGTTTCGCGTTGGGCTTAGCGTCGGGCTCGGGGTCGGAGACAACGAGAAGCCGGGTGGCAACGGTGTCGGGCTTGGCGTCGGGCTCGGCGTCGGGCTTGAGGTCGGTGGCACTGCATGGTAGGACAGGTAGCTGCCTGCATCACTCGAACACGTGAGACCGAACACATCATAGAAGGGCCAAGTCACCGAATCTGTACTGCAACCACATTTGCCCTTATACCAACAACCCATGCAGCCGTCGCACAAAGTCATCGTATCGCCATAACCACAACTCCCCCCATCCTTGCAGCTGCAACATCCAGCAGCTTGACGCTCTTCTGTGCAATCCCAACAATTACATCCGCAGGGGGGGCTGGAGCAGCTACAAGTACCTGATGCATGCACGTCCCCAAGGGGAGGGTAGGTGGGCGCAGACGTCGGGGTCCGCGTCGGACTTGCCGTCGGGCTTGCCGTCGGGCTCGGCGTTGGATACTGCGTCGGAGATGGCGTCGGGCTTGCCGTCGGGCTTGTCGTCGGAGATGGCGTCGGGGCTGCCGTCGGGCTCGGCGTCGGGTTTGGCGTCGGGATTGGCGTTGGATACTGCGTCGGAGACGGCGTTGGGCTTGCCGTGGGGCTTGGCGTCGGAAACGGCGTCGGGTTTGGCGTCGGGTGTGCCGTCGGACTACGCGTCGGGTTTGGCGTCGGGTGTGCCGTCGGACCACGCGTCGGGTTTGGCGTCGGGTGTGCGGTCGGACTACGCGTCGGGTTCGGCGTCGGGTGTGCCGTCGGGCTATGCGTCGGGTTAGGCGTGGGATGCGACGTCGGGGCTGGCGTCGGACTCGGCGGGCACTGCGCAGTGCCGACCTCATTGGCGACGAGGGACGCGGTCCCCGATCTGTACAACCTTAAGTCCGCCGCGGTATAGGAACGCGTGGGCGTTACTGATGTCGCCTGTCCCGAAGCCGCGGCCCAAATGTCAGACGAAGACAACTCGGACGGCCACAATTCCAAGGAGTGGATCCTTCCTGGCAAATTCTCTGAGAGCGAGTATCGGGCGAACACCGTTATATCGTCGCCGAAAGTTCTGTCTGACGATACGTACAGGTGAATCCACGGGGCGTCGGTGGTTGTTGCACTATTGACACTCGCAACCAGGGTACTAGTAGTAGCGGCAACTCCGTTGATATATATCGTGTCTCTCCAACTGCTGCCCTTGTCAATACGCGCGCTGCCAGATCCAGATGACCAATCCAGAAACGAGAAATGTCCAGAGCCCAATCCAGTACGTGCGTCAAATATGTACTCCCAGTGATAGCCTCCATCCTTGTACGGCGCAAGCCACATTGACAAAGCTCGAATGTTGTTACTGTACGGCAACTGAACATACCCGAATGTATTTGAGGGGATCTCGATATACTGACAACGAGTCGGTGACGTGCCCCCACCACAACCGCAGCATGCTGTCGAACCGTCATATCCATCGTTCGCCCAATCTGCAAATGTGCCCCATCCAGAACTCCATCCCGATGCATAGCCTCCAGACGTGGTGCAAACATTGGCCGTGTTATACCAGGAGCAAGGTGTACCATCCTTGCTCGCCCACCCAGGAACGTCCACGCAGGTCGCCATCGTCGCCGCCGGTTCTGGCGTCGGGCTTGGCGTCGGATTCCGAGTCGGGTCTGGTGTCGGGCTTGACGTCGGATACCGCGTTGGGTCTGGCGTCGGGCTTGGCGTCGGATACAGCGTCGGCTCTGGCGTCGGGCTTGGCGTCGGAACATGCGTCGCGCCAGGTGGCAGTGGCGTTGGGCTTGGCGTCGGTTCTGGCGTCGGGCTTGGCGTAGGATATGGCGTCGGATATGGCGTCGGATATGGCGTTGGATACGGCGTCGGACTTGGCGTCGGATATGGCGTTGGATATGGGGTCGGGCTTGGCGTCGGATACGGCGTCGGATTTGGCGTCGGCGACGGCGTGTAGGCCGAGCACACGTAGCCGAGCAGTATATGGCCGTCGTTGCAGGTCTCACACTGATCTCTCACCACTCGGTCCTGCGGCGTGACACAAGTCTTGCATGCCGCTCCGCTCCCAGTCTCGCAAGTCAGCCTCTGATGCCTGTAGGTCACGAACTGAGTAGACCCCTCGCTGGCCCTGGTTCCAACCGCTGCGTAGCAAGCCCCGGAAGTCATCGCATTCGGCGGCATACAGGCGCACGTGGTCCCCAGGCTGCCGGACCCATCGTTCGGCGAGTCGGAGTACAAGTACTCGCAGTAATTCCCGGCCGCCTCCCACTGCGTCACCCGGGCGAAGCACTGGGTGAGGCTCAGTGCACCCCAGGAGGCTCCCGCCATCGCCTGGCCCACAGCGCAGGAGAACTTCTGAGCCATGTTGGAGAGGCCCGTGACCCAGGCAGGCTCCGATCCGAAATCGTCACAGGTGAAGCAAAAATTCTTCGTGACAGAGATGGCGATCCTGCCGGCGAGGTCACCGGCACTCCTGTTCATGCTGGACCTCTCGAGCGAGCCGTTGCGGGCTCCCTCGAGGATCGGCTTGGGGTCTGGAAACTTGCTCTTGACGTTTTCGCCGAAACTGGGGTCGGACGTAGCCCCAGAGAGGAGGCGCAGCGCCGGCAGCAGCGATGTCTTGTTGAACTCCCCCTCCGACAGGCGAGGGGGAGGGGCTGGTTGGGGCCAGAGTTTGAGCGAGAACGAATAGCCAAACTCGAGCTTCGGCTCTGGATAGAGGGGCAAAGAAACCGTTCCAGTGAAAATATCGAACGCCAAGATGCCGTTCAGAGACGACTCCCAGTACGACCACTCCGTGCTGGATGGCCCCGCCGTACAACCGATACTGAAGAACGCAGAGGCACTTGGCTCCCACTTGTACGGCGCACCGAAGATGGAAATTCTGCCCGTAGCAAAGCCGACAATCTTGGCCGCGAATCTTCCATTGAGGCATCCAGCCTGAGCCTTGATTCCAAGAACTGCATATCCGAACTGGAGGTCGACTCCCAATGTGATGGTAAAGTCGCCTTCGTCACAGAACACTGCTTCCAGCCTCGTCTGAAGATTGGTAAGGAGATTGTCACCTACAATAATGAGGTCATCGAGCATCCGTCCTGAAGCTATGTACCTGAACACGCCAATAACTCCTTTGGCCGCAGTCTGGACAAAGCTTGGCGCACACCACGAGCCTCCTGTCCAATCAACTTTCAGGAAGGGAGTGGGGATGCCGAAACTAAGCCCAGGGAGGCTTGTAGTCTTCGTGAGGCAATTGGTGAACTTCGCCACGGTATCCGCGAATCGTTGGGCCATCCCGAAAACGTCAAGCACGTCCCAAATAGTCATACTGCTGACGAAATCGAAGGCACCACAGTCAGTGAATTCGGCGGTGGGAGCTGAATTCCAGCAGAAGTCGATGCTCACAGCCGCAGCTTCTGAGTAGATCCCGTTCACGACCCTCTCGCCGAAATTCCACAAAGCCTCGAACACTGTAGTAGCAATTATCGCTTCGGGAGGGAATAGGGCAGCCCTGATGCCGTCGGCGATGTTCGGCAGACAGCGAAGATTTGCCATGACCATGTTCTCGAGTATATCCAAGAGTATCGAGAATCCACACTCGAAAAATGAGAGAGCGTTGCTCACCCCCTCCGAAATGCAATCCCAGACGCCGGAACAACCTGTGGGGATGAGATCAAAGCCGCACATGTCACCAACCGCGTCGTTGACGGCGTTCACCACAGCTGACAGACATTCTCCAAAGCTCATGAGTACATTCACGACAGTGTCGACCACGCACGTGTACACGTACTCCACTGCTTCGGTGAAACACGACCACACGCAGTTGGTGACGCAACTCACAGTGCACACGACCACATCGACGACCGTGTCTACCACATCCACGACGACATCCCACCAACGACGCCGACGCCTCCCGCCCCAGAACTCAAGCTCTTGAGTCGTTCGCACAACGGAGCCCGAATCTCGCGAAACTCGCGCAACAGCGCTCGAGTTCGCATGCGCCAATCTCGGGCAACTGGTACAAGCGTTATTGCAAGAATTCCCGCAATTGTCTACCCATTGTGTTTCCGAGCAGGTGCTGGGAAGTGAGAAGATACTCTCGAAGGTGCACGAAGGCCCACGCAGCGCCTTCTGGGGGGCAGCACGCTGTGCCAGCTGAGGAGTTGTGGCGAGCCACTCGTCGAGGGTCAAGAACGCACTGCCGTGGGCGCTGTGCTTCTCCACAAACTCTTCCACCGAAGCCCTGGGAAGTAAAACTTGGTCAAAGGGGGTGTTGAGCGTGCCGTTGGCGGCTTCGATCGCGACGAGGTCCTGTCCGATTAAGGCGCCCACTAGCTCGTCCACGTCCAGGGTCAAAGACTGATCTTTGTCGAGCTCGCCGAACTTCTTTTCGAGAAAGAGCAGCTGCTCGTCTGAAGATAGATTTTTCCATGCATGCGTCACCGTAAGCGACCCCTTGTTGACCACGTATTCATGGGAGTGACAGGGAGTCGTCTCATGCGATGGGAACCCTGGCCCGCAGTGCCCACATTCGTCGACGTAAGCAGCATCGGAGCAGAACTGACACTGGCTGCAGCTGTCGCACGTACCATCATAGCAAAATTCCGAAGACTGGCAATCAGAATGCTCTTGGCAATGCACCACGTCCGGCTCTGGTTCGGGCCCCTCGCTGCAAGTCGCGCAGCACACTGCAAGAACTTGGCTCGACAAGTTCGCGTCTGCACAGTACGGACCGACATCCGAACAACCACTGACGTCAGACACACGCGCATGATCTTTTGCAAGCTCGACAGCGCCAGAATCATTGTCAACACAGCCAGTCGATCCATGCGCTGGCACGTCGAAACCCTGGTCGTAGACGCGAGTCTGGATCAACTGCACGTCGGACGCCACCTGATCGGCCACACTCTCCCAACCGCGAGTTGGCAGAAGAAGATGGGCGATCACGACAATGGGGAGCTTGATGGCCGCCATGGGCACTAAAGACGTGTATGGACAGAGTGTGTAAATGTTTTGTCGCGAGACAATCACTAAGTGTAGGTTTGTTGCGATCCGGAAGCCGACTGTATCCACGGTGGCTGCGGTTATGGCTGTTGCTCACCATCCAATCTGAACGCCTTCCTTGACGTGCCTTGTCTGTTCGAACGCTGGTTGCCTTCTTGCCTTTCTTGACGTGCCTTGTTGCCTCCCTTGACATGCATTGGAACTGTTTGGCGGTGCTTGGCATTGCGTGGCATCGCTTGGAACCGTTGATTGGCATTGCTTGGCGGTGGTTGACGTTGGCGTTGCTTGCCATTGTTTGGCATTGCTTGGCAAGTGCTCAGCAAATGCTCGGCGTTGCTTGGCCTTGCACGGCCAACCCCGGGCAACCCCAGGAGAGCAACCGGGAAGCCAGGCCCCTTCTCTGAGGAAGGGTATCGCACCCACCCGTTTCTTTCATGGGCCAGTGAAACAACCCGAGGCCAGCCTAACTGAGCAAAGAGGAAGGCTTCTAGGGAGTTATAGGGAGGGAGTCAGTTGCAACATCGCTGTTGCATCTTGAACTCGCTTTGGTCCTCCACATCCACTCCCTCCTCCTCCTCCTCTGTGATAACTCCCTCGGGTCACACCACCAGACGTGTCAGTGTGCTGGGCTGGGCGTTTCGCGTAACATCTCCCTGTAACTTCATATCCTGCAGTTACTTTCGCCCAGCGCGACACCAACACAGGGTCTTCTTTCATCGCAATCCCAGGAAGTTCGGAGCAACGCAAAGCAATGCAATGCAAAGCATTGCTTGGTAGTGCTTGACATTGTCTTTTCAATGTTAGGCGCTGTTTAGCGTTGTTTGGCATGTCATTGCTTGGCTTTGCGTGTCATTGCTTGGCATTGCGTGGCGTTGCTTGGCGCTGCTTGGCGTTGGTTGGAATTGCTTGGCATTGCTTGGAATCGTTGCTTGGCGCTGTTTGGATTTGCTTTGCCTTGATTAGCGTTGTTTTGCTTTGCTTGGCAGTGCTTGGCTTTGCTCGGCAGTGATTGGTTTTGCTGGGTATTGCTTGGCATTACTTTGTATTGCCCGGCGCTGCTTGGCACTGCTTGGCATTGCTTGGCGTTGTTTGGCGTGATTGGCTTTGTTTGCAAACGAACGAATTCTCCTTCTCAAAAATAAACAAATAATCTCCTCCCCCCGTTCCCCCCCCCCCGCCCCTTCCCTCCCCTCCTCCCCCCCGGAATTAACGATCAACCTCTTCGTATTGCAATTTGCATGCGGTTCTGAAAATTATGTCCCGTCGTTTATCTGAAATATGAACTCGTACCATTCCAGCCCAACCTGTATCGGCACACCCCGCCATCCTTTGCAACAAAATAATCAGCACTTTGCGAACATCCCTTGCAACAGATGTGACGAAGTGCGCGCGCGGGTCGTCACGCGCGCATGCCAAAATGCATGACAACCTTCGGTTTCGTCAGGTGTTCAAAATCGAGTGTCACGAAAACATGAAAAAACGCACGTGGTTTAGCAACCGGAATGTTCAAAATAAACTCGCGCCCGCGCTCTTGCGAATTCTTGAGAAAACCATGGGTTGTCCAACGTTTTCATAGAATGCAGCCAAATTGGCCTCTCGGGCGCGCGTGTCGAAATCGTTCGAACGCCCCTGTGCGCGCGCTGTCGCAATAATCCCTTGCAGAAGTACAGACGGATTGCACGCGCGCGCGTCGTCGCGCGCGCGAGCCGAAATCCTTGAACAACCTTTGTTTTCTCAGAGATTTCAAAATCGAGTGCCGCAGAAACATATAGACACACGCGGCTTCGCTACATCAGTTTTCAAAAATGCCTGCGCTCGAGTTCAAGCAGATTCTCAACACAACAATCGGTTTTCCTAAATTTACATCAACTTCTGCCACACGGGCCTCTCGCGCCGTATGTCGAACTCATTCATGCGCTCTTGCGCGCGCGCTGGGGTGGTACGACCGCGCATGTAAAGTTTGTCATGTTCTTGTGCTAGGGATTCTTGCGACAGCAAGCACGCAGGGGCGTTCGAACGATTTCGACATGCGCGCGCGAGAGGCCCGTTTGGTACCACCCCATGGAAATATGGAGCAACCTATTGTTCCCAGGAGTATTCGCAAAAAACCCGAGCGCATTGTTAAGTATAGAAAACTCGTGTTGCGACACCATGTGTTTTATGTTTCCAGGGCACTCGATCTTGAAATCCTTGCGGGACCCCGAGTTTTTGAATGATTCGGCATGCGCGCGCGACGGCGCGCGCGTTTGCACTTCGTCATATGTTTTTGGAAGAGGTTCTTGAAAACTGATGATTTCTGATAAACGCGAGCGCGCATAATATTTGTTGCCGAGGGTGAGCGGAGGTACCGATACTGGCCTGCTTGGGATGGTATGGATTCATATCTCGGATGAGGGATGGGGCAACATCGCTCGCGTACTGCAATACGACAAAGGGCACCATTAGTTCCGGGGGGAAGGGTCGATCCGATTACTCGGTTATATAAGAGAATATAGGTGGTTCTGTTGTAGATGTAATGCATTATTTCGGGTGCAGTTTATGTTGTGCACTATATGTTGTACAGTGGATGCTGTGAGCGACCAGAAAGCGCGCCGCAGGCGCGACTATTTTTCGTGCTACGTGGTCCAATCCAAAGGCGGCGACGGGCGGCGACGAGGCGGCGACGGGGAGGTGACGGGGCGGCGACGGCGGGAACATAGCCGCCACGCCGCCCACACGGCCCACACGACGGACAGTGACAGGGCGGCGACGGAAAGACGACGGCCGGAACATAGTCGCCAGACCGCCCACACGGCCCGGTTCCTTCGAACACAAGTGAAAGCCTCTCAATGCAAGGACCGTTTGGGAAATTTGGATCACCCCCCCAGGTCTATTGACACCTCCTGGGATAGTGCAATTTACATATGACTCTGCCCCATCGCTCATGTTAAACCCGCCGGCCTTGTCGGCATGTGTGACAAATTTTTCCGACTGACTCGTCCTCGTCGTCGTCGTCGTTGTCGTCGTCATCGCTCTCCCCTGTCTTTGTCCGGGGGCCCTCCTCGTCTAACGTTCCTGCCAAAGAGAAGTCGAGCAAATCGCCATCGCGTCGGAGGGAAACCTGTTCCTTTCGATCCCTTCCACGCCCAGGGGGGGGCTCCTCGGGGGGGGGGTCCCCGAGGGGTCCTGGGGCGGTGTCCCTGGTGGTGTCCCTGGGGTGTTCCCTGGGGTTGTGACCCGTCGCCCCCGTGGGGGAACAACCTTCCCTGGGAGAGGTTTCCCCCTTCGATTCCGTGCCTCCCACACACCTCGGGCTCCCGCTTCAAGGTCGGCGGTACCGGCCGCAAGGCCTTCACAATATGAATTCGTACCATCCCAAGGGGCCCGGTATACGCGCACGGCGTCGCGAGTGCGCATGGCGGAATTATTCAACAAACAAGAGTCTTCGTAAGGATTTCAAGATCGAGGTTCCACATACATATAAACAACATGTGTTTTTGCAGCTGGATTTCCACACAAAAACATCTGCACGCGCGTTCTTGAGAATACTTCAGAAACATGTTTTTTCGATGCGGGCCTCTCGCGTGCGCAAGCCGAAATCGTTCGAACGCCTTTGCGCGCTTGCCGGGGGGAAGAGCGCGATCCCTGCCAAATAACACTATGCGGGCCACTCGACTGCGTCGGCCGCGCGCATGTCGAACTCCGTCCAAAACCTTTATCGCCGCCGCGTGGACACCATCAACGTCATCGGCGTGACCAGCATCGGCGCCGTGATTGGCCTTGCCGTTTTCATCAACATCATTGTCACCATCATCGATACTATCATCACCGTATCTGCCAATTCTGACGTCGCCATCGTACCGCGCCCGCCCGAGCCACCGACTCGCACTGAAGTGCCCGAGTGTCAGCGCTGCCTGCGAGACGCGCTGGGAAGTCCCCAATGGTCAGCGCCACTGCGGTCGCGTCGGTCGCGCCAAACTCGCTGGCCACTCTGAGCGTGAGCCTGCGCGCGCTAGCGCGGCCACAACAATGCGCCAGCCAGCTTCAAGCAGCCATCGCAATCGCCGCCGCTTTGTACTTGCACACTAAGTTGAGCGTGGGTGGGTTGGATGACTGCACTAGCAATGGAGGAGCAGTCAACTCCAAGTTATTCAACATGAGTTTCACCACATAGGCTGCACAGCATTTATTGCACAACGTAGTCATATTGCACCAGCTTTTTTGCACAATGTGACTTGCACCACTACATTGTACCACGTAAAGTGCAAAGCGTACGTTGCAGTCTAGTTTGCACCACATCGATCGCACACCAAAAAATGCACCACATAGTTTGCTCCACATAGACTGCACACCATACGTTGCACCACATATATTGTATAGCATCGGTCGCACACTATAGGTTGCACAACGCACATTGCACAACAGATAGTGCACACTATAAATCGAATCACATAGATTGCGCCACACATATTTCTCCACATTCATTGCCCAACATCTATTGCGATATGTTGCGCCACATATTTTGCACACCATCGATTGCACAACACATACTGCATACCACAGGTGGTTCCACGTATATCGTCCCCATAGGTTGCACCACATGTATTGCACAACATAGGCTGCGCCACATAGGTTTCATCACATTGATTGTGCAACATATATTGCGCAGCATGTGTTGAACCACATCTACGTTACATCACATCGATACTTCACAACACGTATTGCACCACATAGGTTGCACAACATACATTGCACCACGCAGATTTCTAGAAGCACACTGTTTGGTGTCCACGCTGGCTAGCATGTTTCTGTGTCGTCTTCGAGGTGGCGCGCCCATTCTGCGACACCGCGCGCACGAGGTGCCGAACGTTCGGCATGCAAATACGGGGAAATGCCCCGCAGAAAGTGGGCGCAGCAGGCCGGAAGGGGACCGCCCGCACCGCGCTTGCCGGGGCCCGCGCGCGTGTCAAGCCGCCCGCCTTGTTCCCCCGTGCTTCTTCTGCTTTCTGCTCTGGCTGCCTGCTTTCCTGCCCCACCGCTCCTCGCGGGCTGTACCCAGACATCTCGCGTGATAGAAGGCAAGGGCGGCTGGTTCTTGGCTCCCTTTCGGCCCACCATTGCCCTCACCAGTCGCGTGTTGCTAGAAGTTCCCCTGGCCCAAGGTCCCAAGGTGCCTCTAAGATATTCCAGGAGGCCCCCTCACGGCCTCTGGAGCACCCCCCCCACGAGGCCCACTGGGGGCACCTTGGGCCAGGGGCGCTTCCGGCAACCCCCGAGCCGGGCCCGCTGGGGCCGTCGAGCACGGCCCACCGTGAAGAGCCGGTCCCGGAAGCAAGGGCTCCCAACCTTTCGCGCTTCGCGCTGCGCGAAGCGCGAATGACTTCGCGCTCTCGCGCCGCCTCCCAGGGGAGAAGAGGAGGATGAGGAGGAATCGGAGCCGAACCGCAAGGCGCGAATATAACTTCGCGCCCTCGAGGGCGCCCTTGGGAACGAGGCCCAGGCCTCCATGTGGAGGGGCCCGCTGCAGCAGCAACGCTCACAACGTCGGACGTCTGGGCGCCTCGGGCCGCTCGCGGGCTCCGTGCCCAGGCGCGGCCCCCGGGCGATCGAGGCTCTGCGCCGTGAAGCCCCCCTCTCCTGGGCCCCCAGTCGGCGGCACGTGAGGTCGGCCCGAGGCAGGAGTGACCTCTGGTGCGCGGCTTTTGGGGGGCGCGGGGGGCGGGGCCAAACTCCAGCGCGCAAGCCGCTGCTGCCGTATCGCTTTTTCGGCGATCTTGGGACCCCACTGTGCCCGCACCAAAGGTCACTCCGGCGAAAGGTCACTCGTACGTACAGCCGACCCAAAGAGTGACGGACTTGAGAAAAAGGGTGGGCTCCCGGCGCCCCTGGCGTGCCAGGAGGTCCGAGGGGCGACTTTCCTGTGGCAAGGTGGTCCAGGATAGCATGCTGGTTGCGCCCCAGAACCATCATCCAGAGCAAGTTTTGGCTCGGCAACTTTGCCCATTGAGGGGCCACCTTGTCGACAATGAGTGCACGCCCTGTTTCACAGAGCTCCTAGCTTCCAGCGGCCATGAGACTAGTAACTATTTGCATGCAACTTTCGTGAATTTGGATAGTCATTGCGACCAATCATCACAAAGTTGAGGGTCGCCCACCACGAAAAGATGGCCCCGAAGAGCCCCAAAAGACCGCCCAGGCGGCACGGCAGAAGGGTACAATAAGGGGCCCCCAGCCGGCAAACGGGAGACCTGCAGAGAGACGCCTCCAGAGGGCGCAGGAAGTGCATGGTGGGAGCTTTGCGTGATTGAGCTGGAGGCTCGAACGATCAGATTCAGGTTCGCCCCTTCACAGGGAGTTTGAGCCGGAATCGCCCTCCACCCATGTACGGTCGAGAATCTTCACTTGGCGTGTCGCGGCGGCGGCCCTGGCGACACACCATGCCCTGCGAGCTGACAGCGTGTCATTCTGCTCCGCAGGGGGATGGGAAGTGTTGGGTAGGGCCAAGGGGTGCTGCAGACACCCAGGAGCGGGCGTCAAGGGGTGCAGCCACTCTGCGCGCTTTCACCGCGCGCCTGAACCGCCCCCCTTGATGCACTCCCCTGACCCCCCTCTTGATGCACCCCCTTGACGCCACCCCCCATTGATGCACGCCCCTGACGTCCCCTTCTTGGTAGTCCTGCAGAGGAGGGCGCTCTCCGACTCCCTCCTCCCTTCTCCCACCTCCCTCATCTCCTTCCTCTCCCTCCTCCCTCCTCCCTCCTCTCAACTCCCTCCTCCTTCCTCCCTCCTCCTTCCTTCGTCCTCCCTCCTCCGTCCTCCCTCCTCTGTCCTCCCTCCTCCCCCTCCTCCTCCCTCCTCCTCCCTCGAGGCAAGGGAAGAGCTCTGGATGTCGACGCTCGGGGGCGGGGACCTGGTCAGCGTGCCGCGCCGAAGCGTGGCGGGCCAGCCCCGGCGGCGCGACACGCCGAGAGACAGCTCCTCATCGTCGTCGTGGTCGTCGTCATCCTTATCAGCATCTCCAGCACCATCATCACGAATACCATCACCATCACCATCATCAGCATCATCATCACAAGCATCACGATCATCATCATCATCATCATCATCATCATCATCATCATCATCACCATCATCATCATCATCATCATCATCATCGTCATCATCATTTTCATCATCAGCAGTCTCATCATCATCACCATCACACCATCACTGTCATACTGGTCAGCATCATGAGCGTCATCCTGCACCAGCAGCAGCACTGCCATCATGACCACCAGCGTCGGCATCGTTACAATAATAACAAACACCGTCACCGCCATCATCATCGATATTTGTCATATCCATGATCACCACCGCGAGCAATAACGCGTCTTGACAAGGAGGAACGGGCAACAACAATAGAGAGGACGGGGATTCGGAAGATGCCGTGATGAGACTGTTGGTGATGATGACGGTATTGTGAAGTAGGTGACGGCAATGCTGATGCTGCTGCTGATGATGACGATGATGATGACGATGATGATAATGATGATGTTGATGCTGATGATGCTGATGATGATGCGGATGATGATGATGATGATGATGATGATGATGATGATGATGATGATGATGCTGATGATGATGATGATGCTGATGATGATGCTGATGATGATGATGATGATGAAGATGGATACGCTGAGGGTGATAAGGGTGGTCGTGTTGATGGGCGATGGTAATGGCGATTGCGATGAATACAACGACCGTGAGTTGATTACCTCGAGTGCCAACGTGCGTTTCAGCACGAGGAGGCGCCACTCAGCTCATAAAGGGTGATCAGCGCAGGAGACAATAATAAGTAAAGGGCGTGGGGAGGTACAAAAGGGGGGAGCGAGGAAGGGGAGTGAGAAGAGGAGGAGAGAGGAATGAGACGAGGAGGGAGAAGGAAGAGGAAGAGAGGGAAGCGAGGAAGAGGACGGGGACGCGGAGAGGGAGGCAGGCATCGAAATATCTATGCATCGATGCGCAGTTGCCCGCCAAGCCATATCTATGCATCGAGGCTGGCCGTGCGCCTCCGCACCAGGCCAGTGGGGGAGGTTGTCCCGCCCAGGAGGTGGATCAGAAGGGACCGGGAACGCACCCTACGCCAGGCTGGCCCAGCTAGGCTCCATTGTAGAGACGGCGGCAGTGCTCGGGTCGTCCTTTGTTTGCCAAAGGCTCATTCGACGATGCCTGCAGCCCTCAGGAGTGGTCGCTTCCTTGCTGTGGTCGTCCGCGCCCAACAAGCCTCCGACAGAGAACCCGGCTTGGTTCAAGTGCTTCGCGTAGACGTTGAGGTAGCGGATCCCCGCCAACGTACGTCCGTGCGCGACTTTGAGGTCCACCCTCCCAAACTGCACCCACTTGGGATCCTCCGTGACGGCCTCTGATGCGCGGTACCGGAGACCGCCAGCCTGCTTCTCGTCCGCCCACTTTCCCGTCAAGTTCACCTCCTGGAAGTACATGTCCGTGCACAACTCGCCGAGCCTCTGCGCCTCCGCCTCCACGCGCAGTAGGGAGACCTCGGTGCGCGCGCCCCTAGGGATCTGGACCAAGAGGTGCCTGCCGGCCAGCATGAGGTCGAAACGCTCGCCAAAAATATTTTGCAGATGCGGGTCGCCGGTGCCCGCCACGGCGCCCATGCTGGCCCCAATGATGACGGGAACTGGCGTGGGAGCCAAGGTGACGCCCGCAGTCGAACCCGCTGCGCCCACGGAAGGAGCCGTCAGCGTAGGAGCCACAGTGATGACCGGTTCAGTACTCCAGTCAGACGCAGCCATAGCTTCGTTCGTCTCGGCCTCAATGGTGGCAGACATTGCAGCGATCGCGGCGGTGAGGGACGCGGCGCTCTTGCTGCCGACGATCTCCACCGTGAAGCTCGTGGTCACGGTAACGTGCGAGTCCCGCGAGAGCTGGCGGACAGCAGCGGGGAACCGATCGGGATGGGTCGAGATGGCGAAGCCCGTGATCTCAACGTCGGAAACGGGCACATTCAGAGCATTAGCCAGACCAGTCTTCTTCGCGGACACGTAGGTCGTGGAACTCATGAGGTCCTCCGCAGTCACGCCGTCTGGAAGAGATTCCTCCGCGGAGTACTCGCCAGCAATCTTTGCGTGATTGGACAGGTAGCTGCCCGTTGCATTCGAGCACGAGAGACCGAATGCCCGATAGTAAAGCCAAGTCGAGGAATCTGTACTGCAACCACACAGGCCGCCGTGCCAGCAACCATTGCAGCCGTCACACGTAGAATTTGCAAGGTCGAAGTAGCCACAGCCATCGTCGCAGCTGCAGCATCCAGCAGCTTTACGCGCTGCTGTGCAATCCCAACAATTGCAACCACATGGTGGGTTCGAGCAGCCGCAAGTTTTCTGAGTTTCGGATAGCGTCGGGCTTGGCGTGGGGTTTCGCGTTGGGCTTAGCGTCGGGCTCGGGGTCGGAGACAACGAGAAGCCGGGTGGCAACGGTGTCGGGCTTGGCGTCGGGCTCGGCGTCGGGCTTGAGGTCGGTGGCACTGCATGGTAGGACAGGTAGCTGCCTGCATCACTCGAACACGTGAGACCGAACACATCATAGAAGGGCCAAGTCACCGAATCTGTACTGCAACCACATTTGCCCTTATACCAACAACCCATGCAGCCGTCGCACAAAGTCATCGTATCGCCATAACCACAACTCCCCCCATCTTTGCAGCTGCAACATCCAGCAGCTTGACGCTCTTCTGTGCAATCCCAACAATTACATCCGCAGGGGGGGCTGGAGCAGCTACAAGTACCTGATGCATGCACGTCCCCAAGGGGAGGGTAGGTGGGCGCAGACGTCGGGGTCCGCGTCGGACTTGCCGTCGGGCTTGCCGTCGGGCTCGGCGTTGGATACTGCGTCGGAGATGGCGTCGGGCTTGCCGTCGGGCTTGTCGTCGGAGATGGCGTCGGGCTGCCGTCGGGCTCGGCGTCGGGTTTGGCGTCGGGCTTGGCGTTGGATACTGCGTCGGAGACGGCGTTGGGCTTGCCGTGGGGCTTGGCGTCGGAAACGGCGTCGGGTTTGGCGTCGGGTGTGCCGTCGGACTACGCGTCGGGTTTGGCGTCGGGTGTGCCGTCGGACTACGCGTCGGGTTTGGCGTCGGGTGTGCCGTCGGACTACGCGTCGGGTTCGGCGTCGGGTGTGCCGTCGGGCTATGCGTCGGGTTCGGCGTGGGATGCGACGTCGAGGCTGGCGTCGGGCTTGGCGGGCACTGCGCAGTACCGACCTCATTGGCGACGAGGGACGCGGTCCCCGATCTGTACAACCTTAAGTCCGCCGCGGTATAGGAACGCGTGGGCGTTACTGATGTCGCCTGTCCCGAAGCCGCGGCCCAAATGTCAGACGAAGACAACTCGGACGGCCACAATTCCAAGGAGTGGATCCTTCCTGGCAAATTCTCTGAGAGCGAGTATCGGGCGAACACCGTTATATCGTCGCCGAAAGTTCTGTCTGACGATACGTACAGGTGAATCCACGGGGCGTCGGTGGTTGTTGCACTATTGACACTCGCAACCAGGGTACTAGTAGTAGCGGCAACTCCGTTGATATATATCGTGTCTCTCCAACTGCTGCCCTTGTCAATACGCGCGCTGCCAGATCCAGATGACCAATCCAGAAACGAGAAATGTCCAGAGCCCAATCCAGTACGTGCGTCAAATATGTACTCCCAGTGATAGCCTCCATCCTTGTACGGCGCAAGCCACATTGACAAAGCTCGAATGTTGTTACTGTACGGCAACTGAACATACCCGAATGTATTTGAGGGGATCTCGATATACTGACAACGAGTCGGTGACGTGCCCCCACCACAACCGCAGCATGCTGTCGAACCGTCATATCCATCGTTCGCCCAATCTGCAAATGTGCCCCATCCAGAACTCCATCCCGATGCATAGCCTCCAGACGTGGTGCAAACATTGGCCGTGTTATACCAGGAGCAAGGTGTACCATCCTTGCTCGCCCACCCAGGAACGTCCACGCAGGTCGCCATCGTCGCCGCCGGTTCTGGCGTCGGGCTTGGCGTCGGATTCCGAGTCGGGTCTGGTGTCGGGCTTGACGTCGGATACCGCGTTGGGTCTGGCGTCGGGCTTGGCGTCGGATACAGCGTCGGCTCTGGCGTCGGGCTTGGCGTCGGAACATGCGTCGCGCCAGGTGGCAGTGGCGTTGGGCTTGGCGTCGGTTCTGGCGTCGGGCTTGGCGTAGGATATGGCGTCGGATATGGCGTCGGATATGGCGTTGGATACGGCGTCGGACTTGGCGTCGGATATGGCGTTGGATATGGGGTCGGGCTTGGCGTCGGATACGGCGTCGGATTTGGCGTCGGCGACGGCGTGTAGGCCGAGCACACGTAGCCGAGCAGTATATGGCCGTCGTTGCAGGTCTCACACTGATCTCTCACCACTCGGTCCTGCGGCGTGACACAAGTCTTGCATGCCGCTCCGCTCCCAGTCTCGCAAGTCAGCCTCTGATGCCTGTAGGTCACGAACTGAGTAGACCCCTCGCTGGCCCTGGTTCCAACCGCTGCGTAGCAAGCCCCGGAAGTCATCGCATTCGGCGGCATACAGGCGCACGTGGTCCCCAGGCTGCCGGACCCATCGTTCGGCGAGTCGGAGTACAAGTACTCGCAGTAATTCCCGGCCGCCTCCCACTGCGTCACCCGGGCGAAGCACTGGGTGAGGCTCAGTGCACCCCAGGAGGCTCCCGCCATCGCCTGGCCCACAGCGCAGGAGAACTTCTGAGCCATGTTGGAGAGGCCCGTGACCCAGGCAGGCTCCGATCCGAAATCGTCACAGGTGAAGCAAAAATTCTTCGTGACAGAGATGGCGATCCTGCCGGCGAGGTCACCTCTGAGTACAGTTGTATTTTCTTGTGACCTGTCATTCCCGGCACTTCCCTGTCACATTTTTGCATGTTCGCGGTCGAGCGAGCCGTTGCGGGCTCCCTCGAGGATCGGCTTGGGGTCTGGAAACTTGCTCTTGACGTTTTCGCCGAAACTGGGGTCGGACGTAGCCCCAGAGAGGAGGCGCAGCGCCGGCAGCAGCGATGTCCTTGGGGGGGGGGTTTTTTTTTGTTGTAACTCACCCTCCTCCGGAACAGGTCGGCGGGAGGGGCTGGTTGGGGCCAGAGTTTGAAGCGAGAACGAATAATCCAAACTCGGAGTCTTCGCTCGGTAGAAGTGGCAAAGAAAAACCGTCACAGTGAAAATATCGAACGCCAAGATGCCGTTCAGAGACGACTCCCAGTACGACCACTCCGTGCTGGATGGCCCCGCCGTACAACCGATACTGAAGAACGCAGAGGCACTTGGCTCCCACTTGTACGGCGCACCGAAGATGGAAATTCTGCCCGTAGCAAAGCCGACAATCTTGGCCGCGAATCTTCCATTGAGGCATCCAGCCTGAGCCTTGATTCCAAGAACTGCATATCCGAACTGGAGGTCGACTCCCAATGTGATGGTAAAGTCGCCTTCGTCACAGAACACTGCTTCCAGCCTCGTCTGAAGATTGGTAAGGAGATTGTCACCTACAATAATGAGGTCATCGAGCATCCGTCCTGAAGCTATGTACCTGAACACGCCAATAACTCCTTTGGCCGCAGTCTGGACAAAGCTTGGCGCACACCACGAGCCTCCTGTCCAATCAACTTTCAGGAAGGGAGTGGGGATGCCGAAACTAAGCCCAGGGAGGCTTGTAGTCTTCGTGAGGCAATTGGTGAACTTCGCCACGGTATCCGCGAATCGTTGGGCCATCCCGAAAACGTCAAGCACGTCCCAAATAGTCATACTGCTGACGAAATCGAAGCCCCACAGTCAGTGAATATTCGGCGGTGGGAGCTTGAATCCAGCAGATTCGATGCTCCATCGCGAGCTTCTGATTAGATTCCGCGTTCACGACCTCTCGCCGAATTCACAAAGCCTCGAACACTGTAGTAAGCAATTACGCTTCGGGAGGGAATAGGGAAAAGCCCTGAATGCCGTCGGCGATGTTCGCAGACAGCGAAGATTTTGGCATTGACCATGTTCTCCGGAGTAACCAAGAGTATCGAGAATTCCAGAAACGAAAATGAGAGAGCGTTGCTCACCCCCCGCTCACCCCCTCCGAAATGCAATCCCAAACGCCGGAACAACCTGTGGGGATGAGATCAAAGCCGCACATGTCACCAACCGCGTCGTTGACGGCGTTCACCACAGCTGACAGACATTCTCCAAAGCTCATGAGTACATTCACGACAGTGTCGACCACGCACGTGTACACGTACTCCACTGCTTCGGTGAAACACGACCACACGCAGTTGGTGACGCAACTCACAGTGCACACGACCACATCGACGACCGTGTCTACCACATCCACGACGACATCCCACCAACGACGCCGACGCCTCCCGCCCCAGAACTCAAGCTCTTGAGTCGTTCGCACAACGGAGCCCGAATCTCGCGAAACTCGCGCAACAGCGCTCGAGTTCGCATGCGCCAATCTCGGGCAACTGGTACAAGCGTTATTGCAAGAATTCCCGCAATTGTCTACCCATTGTGTTTCCGAGCAGGTGCTGGGAAGTGAGAAGATACTCTCGAAGGTGCACGAAGGCCCACGCAGCGCCTTCTGGGGGGCAGCACGCTGTGCCAGCTGAGGAGTTGTGGCGAGCCACTCGTCGAGGGTCAAGAACGCACTGCCGTGGGCGCTGTGCTTCTCCACAAACTCTTCCACCGAAGCCCTGGGAAGTAAAACTTGGTCAAAGGGGGTGTTGAGCGTGCCGTTGGCGGCTTCGATCGCGACGAGGTCCTGTCCGATTAAGGCGCCCACTAGCTCGTCCACGTCCAGGGTCAAAGACTGATCTTTGTCGAGCTCGCCGAACTTCTTTTCGAGAAAGAGCAGCTGCTCGTCTGAAGATAGATTTTTCCATGCATGCGTCACCGTAAGCGACCCCTTGTTGACCACGTATTCATGGGAGTGACAGGGAGTCGTCTCATGCGATGGGAACCCTGGCCCGCAGTGCCCACATTCGTCGACGTAAGCAGCATCGGAGCAGAACTGACACTGGCTGCAGCTGTCGCACGTACCATCATAGCAAAATTCCGAAGACTGGCAATCAGAATGCTCTTGGCAATGCACCACGTCCGGCTCTGGTTCGGGCCCCTCGCTGCAAGTCGCGCAGCACACTGCAAGAACTTGGCTCGACAAGTTCGCGTCTGCACAGTACGGACCGACATCCGAACAACCACTGACGTCAGACACACGCGCATGATCTTTTGCAAGCTCGACAGCGCCAGAATCATTGTCAACACAGCCAGTCGATCCATGCGCTGGCACGTCGAAACCCTGGTCGTAGACGCGAGTCTGGATCAACTGCACGTCGGACGCCACCTGATCGGCCACACTCTCCCAACCGCGAGTTGGCAGAAGAAGATGGGCGATCACGACAATGGGGAGCTTGATGGCCGCCATGGGCACTAAAGACGTGTATGGACAGAGTGTGTAAATGTTTTGTCGCGAGACAATCACTAAGTGTAGGTTTGTTGCGATCCGGAAGCCGACTGTATCCACGGTGGCTGCGGTTATGGCTGTTGCTCACCATCCAATCTGAACGCCTTCCTTGACGTGCCTTGTCTGTTCGAACGCTGGTTGCCTTCTTGCCTTTCTTGACGTGCCTTGTTGCCTCCCTTGACATGCATTGGAACTGTTTGGCGGTGCTTGGCATTGCGTGGCATCGCTTGGAACCGTTGATTGGCATTGCTTGGCGGTGGTTGACGTTGGCGTTGCTTGCCATTGTTTGGCATTGCTTGGCAAGTGCTCAGCAAATGCTCGGCGTTGCTTGGCCTTGCACGGCCAACCCCGGGCAACCCCAGGAGAGCAACCGGGAAGCCAGGCCCCTTCTCTGAGGAAGGGTATCGCACCCACCCGTTTCTTTCATGGGCCAGTGAAACAACCCGAGGCCAGCCTAACTGAGCAAAGAGGAAGGCTTCTAGGGAGTTATAGGGAGGGAGTCAGTTGCAACATCGCTGTTGCATCTTGAACTCGCTTTGGTCCTCCACATCCACTCCCTCCTCCTCCTCCTCTGTGATAACTCCCTCGGGTCACACCACCAGACGTGTCAGTGTGCTGGGCTGGGCGTTTCGCGTAACATCTCCCTGTAACTTCATATCCTGCAGTTACTTTCGCCCAGCGCGACACCAACACAGGGTCTTCTTTCATCGCAATCCCAGGAAGTTCGGAGCAACGCAAAGCAATGCAATGCAAAGCATTGCTTGGTAGTGCTTGACATTGTCTTTTCAATGTTAGGCGCTGTTTAGCGTTGTTTGGCATGTCATTGCTTGGCTTTGCGTGTCATTGC